CCCCAAAACCCCAAAACCCCAAAACCCCAAGAGATAACGATTCATCATTAGTAAAAGTTAGTTTACTCAAAATTTAACAAAGAAATTAAAAAAGTTGCATAAATTTTATTATATTTGATCGATTGAAAGAAATGAGTATCAAGAATATCACTGATAAATTCAATGAGTCTTATAACAATATCAGCCAAGGACTGCTTTCAAACTCTGCTTACTCAAAACGCGAGAAGTGAAACAAAATAGAATTCAAAGAAATGCACAAGTCATTTGATGATAAGAGAATTGTAATATTAAAACCGAAGACATAAATTCATGATGACAAGAAGAGATATAATAGCGTAGATCAAGCTAGATAGCATCTCAAAGATGTTATACAAAAAAGCAAGATTCATTAGAATCAAGCTAGGTAGAGGGAATTTGAAATCCTTAAAAATGAGATCCTTAGGAGAGACCATTCTAAGACCAACCACTTAGATACCTTAAATGAATAATTATACGATTCACTTAACAATTCTAACTCAACGTAAAAAAATTAGTCTACTCTGAGGAAGTTTAACGGTGGCACTTGTTCTTATAAAATGCCTTAGATTAAAGTCAGTTCTAATGAGGAGGTATTCAATAATCTCAAGAAATTATTGGTTGATTTGAAAGGAAATACTGATCCAACAAAGCTTATGAAGTTAAAGCAGAAAAGAAAACTTCAATTGGATCTAGAAAATGACTAATCTTATTCACTTTTACCCTAAATTGTACTTGAGGAGAAGAAAAAGGAAATCTAAGAAAAAGAGTAAAAACAAATTGAAAAATCGATTAACCAATTCAAAACTCTTAAAGACCTCAATGAGAGTCTGTTAAAGCTTCCTTTCTACTAAGCCAGAACTTCAAATAATTCTCCAACTGGAACGGTTTCCAAAAAAAATATTTTTATGGGGTTGAACAGTTCAAAAGCGAAATTAACAAATATATAAGATAGCTTTGAAATGCTATCTCCTTTGCTAGACAGTGGCTCAAAAAAAGAACAACAAATATTTCATACTAATCAGCTATTTTAGCTTTAGTATGATCAAGTGAGTCTGCAGAAGTTCTATAAGTACAAGGTAGATTTAAAAGATAAGGATGGATTTTATGTTAATGTGAGAACATGCAACGATGAAAAATTAATCATATACTTGGGAGAAGGAGCTTCCTTTGTCAAGATAAATGAAAATTTGGCTTAATATATTGGTGGCTTAAGTGTCAAACCAAATACTGAGATTCTAGAGTTTGAGATTACATTGAATTAGGTAACTTGGAAATCAATTAAACAGCCATACTTCAAAGATAATTCATCTTTGGATTAATCCTACCTTTTGAAAAGAAATGGTCACACTTGTATGTTCTACAGAGATAAAATCTTAATATTTGGAGGAGAAAAGGGAAAGGAAATTGGTCCAAGTTTAAGGGATCTAATGAATGATCTATTGATACTTGATCCAGCAACTAATGAGATATACAGATAGTTGTATGATAGAGCAGCCCTCTATAACAGAATGTATCATTGCTCTTTTATTATTGATGACTTTCTTTATATTTTTGGAGGGCAAACAAATGGTGGCAAGCCTCTTGATGAATTAGTTGAGATAGATTTGAAATCCTATCAATTCAAAAAGCTAGAGATAGTAAATCCTTCTCTTATTGGCCCAATCACTAATACACAGTGCTGTCCTGTATTTTATCCTTCTAGATATCTTGGTGATGGAAGACTTTCATACAAAAAGATATCATAATAAGTAAACTGGAGTGAATCTGAGCATTACATAAAGCAAGAAGGAATTTATATGTATGGAGGAAGGAACAATGAAAACATTGCTAACCCCAATATTTATATAATGACAATCACATTTAACTAGTAAAATAAGCCCATAAGATAATTCCTTTAGCCTTAATGCTAAGGTTAATATCCACCTGGCCGTTATATGCATTCTATGGAATTTTATCAAGAGGGTAACTTTATTGTAATTGCTGGTGGAAGAAATGATGCGCTTGAAACCTCTAAAATAATCTTGGATGATATTTGGATTCTGAAGCTAAATAGCCTCGAATGGCAAAAAGTCATTATTAATTAATATGATCCAGGTAATCCTCTAGCCTAAATGAGGCCAAGGTTTAACTTTTGCTCTGTAATTTTAGGCTCTAAACTCATCATAGCTGGAGGAATCGGTAAAGACTTCAAACTACTTAAGGATTATTAAGAAATAGAATTGGATTAGAGTAAAATTAAGAAGAGGTTTCCAACCGTGAAGAATCAAAGTCTTATTAAAACTATTAACAGTGGAGTAAAGAGTAAGCTCTAGTAATATGGGGGACTATTTTAGCTATGATAAAGAGATTAAGCAGTGCATGCATAACGGTTGAATATATAAATATGATTAAGATTTATTTATATTAAGGTGTAGTTGTGCTTAAATTCATATCTTTCAATTATTATTTAGCCTCTTGATTTTTAAGTTTTTATTCAGTATTTTATTCACAATATTATCTTAAAGTTAATTTGCACACTCAAAATTAATCAATCAAATTCTTCATGTCATAAACTAAGAGAGTTACTGATCTAAATATTGATCTGATTTGTGAGAAGCTTTCCTTACTAAATCAAGATCAGCTTGAGACTGAGTTAGCTAGCATCTTAAGAGAACCAAAGGTAATTAAATTTGATAATAAATATTATAGAGATATCTGATTCACTCCATAGTGAAAAATGTACCTAAAGATGTGATCTTGGACATTTTAGCCTAGACCATTCAAATCTAATTCATAGGTAATAGTAATTTGTTTTAACTTATTTTAGGAGGCATGCCTGTTGTAGGTGATGAGTAGAAAAAGAAGTCTGCTGGAGGAGTATTCTTAACTTTACTTAAAAAGTCAAATTTGTAAGTTCATTTTAGAGTTTTGAGCATTCAATTAATAATCTTAATAGGATAAGTTCTGATTCTATGAAAAAGATAAAAAATCTTTAGAAGTAGCAGTCTAAAGAGAAAAGGATTGCTCTGAGAATGATTGATTGTCTTGATATTGATAGAATTAAGATAACAAAAGAATTGCTGGAGTAAAGTAATCAATAGATGAAGGTTGACTCAGAAACTAAATAAACTGATATTTGTTAAAATTAGGAGTAAAAGCGAGAAAGATTGAAACTCGAATGATATTCTCCTCTTATGCTCAGAAATTTCGATATGTCAAATTAAATGATAGTATACACTGAATATGTTTTAATCTCTTTCATTAATGAAGTTGATTCCTAGTCATATCTTTATGATGGGGTTTTGGGGTTTTGGGGTTTTGGGG